GTACATATTCGGATTGATCCGTATCCTGTCCGTTCGCGAGCTCCGTATCCGATCCGATTGCGAATCATGACTAAACGGATCCTATTGCGAATCAAATGTTTTATTGAGTTCGCAAACGGATCCGTTTGGTCATGATTCGCAATCGGATCGGATACGGAGCTCGCGAACGGACAGAATACGGATCAATCCGAATAATGTACTGCTATTTACTAAAAAAGGTTCGCGCACGGTCCGTATGCGGTTCCTATTTCAACCGCGCGCGAACGCGGAGCGTCCGTAACGGATTGTTCGCAAATCACCTGTGTATGCGTTTACTGAGGCTTATAAACTACAAACTACGAAAATCCCTTAGCCTCAGTAAAACTTTAAAAAGCCATAAAAAAATAATTTAGACTACAAACTACACGAGAAAGTACAGAAAATTTGCAAAAATTTGATCTAAAAACCGTCAAAAACGGAGCAAAATGAGCCGAAATATGGCTAGTTGAAGGTTTTACTGAGGCTTATCAGGTTTTGTAGTTTGTAGTTTCTTAACCTCACAACCTTGTCAGTAAAACATGGGAGGTTTTTACTGAGGCTAACTTCCTACAAACTACAAAATATTATTAGCCTCAGTAAAAATTTAAAATCGCCGTATCCCGACTCATTCTCAACCGTTTTTAATGATTTTTGGCACATTTTTTTGCTAATTTTTTTGTAGTTTGTAGTCTCTTATTGTCGAATTTAAAAAAGTGGGACCTGAAAATTTGAAAGGCGTAGCTTTTTTTGATCTACGAAAAAGTGCGGCAAAAACATTATATTTCAGAATTTCGGCTCGTTCGAGCTACTTTCGCAATTAAGTTTGGTTTTTTGATGAAAAACAGATTCTAAAGATGCTAGCGATCATTTTCCTACCAAGAAATCTAAATTTTGTTCAGAAAATCCCACTAAATTCAAAGAAATAAGTTTCGTTTACTACCGTAGTGTTTCTGGGGCAAGGCCTCGAAAATTGACCGGGAACCGCCCGCGAAACTTCCCAGGTCCCACTTTTTTTAATTCTACAATAGCCTCAGTAAAAATAAAATACTGTATTTTTTCCAGGAGCTCTCTCCGTGGCGATGGATTTCGAGAATTTTCCACCGAATTTGACATGGCGGGGGAGTGGAAACAAGGGTTTGGTCATGCTGAGACCAGTAGTAATTGGTGAGTGTGGGTAATTAGGGCTAATTAGACTGTTTTAATTAATCAAAAAAAATTGAAATTTTCCAGACGGCGTCGCTGTTCTGAATGCCACCTTGCCAGACGATTCACCACAACCATTCTATGGAATTGCACCAGAAATGCCGATTTATCAGGAAATTTTGGTAATCTTATTTTGTTTACTGAGGCTTACAAACTACAAACTACAAAAAAATGAGCAAAAAAACATAATTGAAAATGGTTTTTACATCAAATTTTCTGTACTTTCTCGTGTAGTTTGTAGTCTAAATTTAATTTTATCCAAATTTTCCAGAATCTTCCTGTCAAAGCGGTCTTCGATGTAATCATGAATTTTGTGATTCGTGGCCATAAGACCTGTGTTTTTCTGCCGAAATACTACAAAAACTACATTACCCCCGGTAGAATTTCGAAGGTTGATGATTTGGTGGTTTTTCGAAAACTGATTGATTTGGGATTAATCAAATTTCTGGAGAATCGAGAGGGTCGAGAATCGTGGAACTGGTTTTTGGAGATTTCCAGAATTGTCGATCAAACTGGATCGGTTTTTGTGTCGAGTTTGGAGTATCGTAGGAAGCCAGAAGACCAGAAATATGAAAAACCATCGGATAGAATTATTCAACCCATTTTCTGGAATACATTTGATCGGGTGATGGTTCTGGAACCTTCGATTCGGTATAAGGATGAAAATGATAATAGTTTTAGGACTATTACAGCGGAGCAGGTGTGTATTGAAGGTCAAAATGTGCAGAGAAGCATGTAGATTCGTATAAAAATGAAGAAAAATCGTTTTGAAGTTTTACTGAGGCTTAGGATTTTTTGTAGTTTGTAGTCTAAGCCTCAGTGAACCATTGGTTTTTTAGAGATTTGATATTTTCAACCTTTTTAATGCAAATGACAATAAAAAACAAAAAGAAATCAAAGATCCGAAGATAAAGCTTTTTACTGAAGCTTAGGATTTTTGTAGTTTGTAGTCTAAGCCTCAGTAAAAAGTTCTACATCGCTCGAAATTCTTCAGAATGTCTCATTTTTCGTCGGTTTTTCCTTAAAAATTGTTATTTACTGGTATTTTTTGTAGTTTATAGTCTTGATATTTGGCCCTTAAAAACTTTAAAATTTAAATTTCAGGTCCTCCAATTCGCTGAGCCAGACGACGAGAGAGCTCAGCTCGGCGAGCAGCTCTACCTGGATAAACAAATCGAATTGATTTGTCATTTGTGTCAGTTATACCCAACAAAATCCATGCACAAAGTCAGCATTCAACAGCTACTTCATTTGGTAGTTCGCGCCAATTCAAATTTCGACATGCCTGGAATGAACCTGGAAACGTACTTGGGGATGTGTGAACGATTCGGGAATCATCAGAATGATGCGGAGGATTGTGTTGATGATAATAATTCTAATGTTTAATGCAATTTTATCTTTTTTTTTGTTTTTTTTTCCGGTTTCTTTTTCAATAAACGAGGTATTTTTTGGTGTTTTCTATCTAGAGCAAAAAATTTCAGCAAAATTGAGCCAAAAATGACTGAAAACGGTTGAAAATGAGGCGAGATACAGCGTTTTGAAGTTTTTACTGAGGCTGACAAGGTTTTCTAGTTTGTAGTCACTTGGCCTCAGGAAACAGAAAGCGCGTTTCCTGAGTCTAAGAGAATACAAACTACAAAACTCCTTAGCCTCAGTAAAAACAAGAAGCTCTCTATTTTGGTTCATTTTAAACCGTTTTCCGTGATTTTTGGCTTGAATTTTCTGGATTTTTTGTAGTTAGTAGCCATTCGTCAGTGATTTCTATCGGTTTCTTTTTTCTTTCTATAAAATAATACGATGTAATCTGTATTGTTTTCCCGACACTTTCACTTTTCTGTTGTCTAGAGAAAAACGACGCAGACATTGTCATCAAAAAATAGATCGCACCGCCCGAATTAAATGAAACAGGCAGAAAAAAAAACAAGAATGACAACATCTTCTTCTTTCTCTTCTAATCGCCTTCATTTGATTTTTGATGATGACTGCGACGGCTGCTGACAAAAACTTCCGAGGTTTGTTTATCGATTTTTTGGCTCGAACTCTGAGTTTTCCTGATAAAAAACATTCTATGATGGCGTGATGTAGCCAGAAATCACCTAAAAAGTCGCTGAAAAATCGAGAACATACTCTGTTACAGTAACTCGCAAAACTTTTTGCATTTTGAGCTTGCGCCTTTAAAACAATCCTACTGTAGTTTTTAGAAAAACGCCGCGAAGTTTTGATTTTTAAAAATCAAACCAGATGATTTGATGACTTCTGGTTCATTTTTCTTGGATTTTTTCTGAAAAAAGGTCTTTTTTTTTTTGAAAAAAGACAATTCCAAAACAAAAACCATGCTCAACTACCTTTCCGATCTGATGAGCGCACTTTTCGTGGGCGATTCCAAGAATTCAGGTATAAAAAACTTTACAAACCCATTTTTCTGCAAAAAAAAACATTTTTTGGCTCTTTCTCTGATTTCTCTAATTCTCGCCTCTCTCCCCGGAAAATCAATAGGGCCCTCTTCTGCCCCTGCGGCCGTTTTTTGTTTGCATTCGGCACGTTTTCAAGAGCAAAACATGTTTGGCATTTTTGACACCAATAGAACAACATTTTTATTAAACAATTGAAAAAAAAACATTAATTTCAATTAAAAATGGAGTTCCAGCCATGTCTCTGACTCAAGACGCCGCGTTCGTCGATCTGAAGAATTACGTGGAAGCCAATGAGAAGGACGTTCAGCTGCTCGATTGGTTCCAGAAGGATCAGTCTCGTTTTGAGAAATTCACGTGAGTAGAATGGCTACAAACTACAAAAAATTTCAGCAAAATTGAGCCAAAGATGACTGAAAACGGTAGAAAATAAATACAAAATAATATAATAAAATAATATAAATAATACAATATAATAAATACAATACAATACAATACAAAATAAGCCGAGATACGGCGATTTAAAGTTTTTATTGAGGCTTAGGAAATGGTGTAGCTTGTAGTCACTTAGCTCAGGAACTCTTTTTAACGAAAACCAAGTTTTACTGACGCTAGTTCACTACAAGCTACAAAATCTTCTACGCCTCAGTAAAAACCTCAAAGCGCTGTATCTCGACTCATTTTCAACCATTCTCAGTCATTTTTAGGCTATTTTGTCTGAAATTATTTGTGTTTTGTAGCTGAAAAAAACATAAAGCACAAACTACAAAAAATTTCAGACAAAGTGAGCTAAAAATGACTGAAAACGGTTTGAAATTAGCCGAGATACAGCGCTTTGAAGTTTTACTGAGGCTAAGGGATTTTTGTAATTTGTGGTCGCTTCGCCTCAGTAAAAACTTAAAAGCGCTGTATCTTGGTTCATTTTCAATCGTTTTCAACGATTTTTAGAGCAAAATTTGGCAAATTTACAGTAAAAAGACTACAAACTACAAAATATCGTTTTCAAAAAATGCTTTCAGCCGCCACTTCAAAACTCCCGATGGCGATTTCCTGTTCGATTTCTCGAAGAATCGAATCACCGACGAATCGTTCCAGCTCCTCATGAAGCTCGCCAAGTCCCGCGGTGTCGAAGAGTCTCGTGACGCCATGTTTTCAGCGGAAAAAATCAATTTCACTGAGAATCGTGCGGTTCTCCACGTGGCACTTCGCAACCGCGCGAATCGGCCGATTCTGGTCGACGGGAAGGATGTGATGCCAGATGTGAATCGAGTTTTGGCTCATATGAAAGAATTCTGCAATGAGATCATTTCCGGACAATGGACGGGATATACCGGCAAAAAGATCACCGATGTAGTGAATATCGGAATAGGTGGATCCGATTTGGGACCTCTTATGGTTACTGAATCCCTTAAAAACTACCAAATCGGACCTAACGTTCATTTTGTGTCGAATGTTGATGGTACCCACGTGGCAGAGGTGACAAAGAAGCTCAACGCTGAAACCACCCTGTTTATCATTGCATCGAAGACATTTACCACTCAAGAAACTATTACCAACGCTGAAACTGCCAAGGAATGGTTTTTGTCAAAAGCTGGGGACCCGGCGGCAGTGGCTAAGCACTTTGTGGCCCTCTCCACCAATGTTCTAAAAGCAGTGGAATTTGGAATTGACGAGAAGAATATGTTCGAATTCTGGGATTGGGTTGGAGGACGATACTCGTTGTGGTCGGCTATCGGACTCTCGATTGCCGTTCATATTGGTTTCGAGAATTATGAGAAGCTGTTGGATGGAGCTTTCGCTGTTGATGAGCACTTTGTGAATACTCCGTTGGAACAGAATGTTAGTCTTTCGGGAATTCTAGACAAAATTCTAGAATTTTTGAGCTAAAAATCGTTGAAAACGGATGAAAATGAGCCGAGATACATGGTTTTCGATTTTTACTGAGGCTTAGGATTTTTGTAGTTTGTTGTTTCTAAGCCTCAGTAAAGAAATAATTGCGTGAAACGTGGAATTTTCTGGAAAAAAAACGGTTTCGGCCAAAAAAAAAACGAAATTACGTGATGACACGTGGATTTTTTTACTGAGGCTAACACTACAAACTACAAAATTTCCTAAGCCTCAGTAAAAAAAAACGCTATAAATGACTATTTCTCAACCGTTTTTCATCATCTTCGGCAAGAAGTTAATCAAATTTGCAGCTCTCTAAAAATCCAGACTACAAACTACAAAATTTCCTAAGCCTAAGTAAAAATTTCAAATCGCTGTAACTCGGTTCGTTTTCTTCCGTTTTTATGGTTTTTAGCTCAAAATTTCGATAATGTCAAGCGAATTTTTTGAAAATGCTCTTTTTGCAGATCCCAGTGATCCTTGCCATGATCGGTGTGCTCTACAACAATGTCTACGGTGCGGAGACTCATGCTCTTCTTCCATACGACCAATATATGCATCGATTCGCCGCCTACTTCCAGCAAGGAGATATGGAGAGTAACGGAAAGTTTGTGACTCGCCATGGAACACGTGTCGACTATTCGACTGGTCCAATCGTTTGGGGAGAGCCAGGAACCAATGGACAACACGCCTTCTACCAGTTGATTCATCAAGGAACTCGTCTCATTCCAGCTGATTTCATCGCCCCAGTTCGCACTTTAAACCCGATTAGAAATGGACTACATCATCAAATCCTTCTTGCCAACTTCCTCGCTCAGTCTGAGGCGCTGATGAAGGGAAAAACCGCTGCGGTGGCTGAGGAGGAACTCAAAGCATCTGGAATGTCCGCTGAATCGATCGCCAAGATTCTTCCACACAAAGTATTTGAGGGAAATAAGCCAACCACTTCTATCGTACTTCCAATCGTCACTCCATTCACCTTGGGATCGCTTATTGCCTTCTACGAGCATAAGATCTTTGTTCAGGGCATCATTTGGGACATTTGCAGTTTTGATCAGTGGGGGTACGTACTGATATTGAAATGAGAAAGGAAATCGCTAGACTTTAAGCCAAAAACCATCAAAAACGGATGAGAATGAGCCGAGTTAGAGGGTTTTCAAGTTTTACTGAGGCTTAGAGGTTTTTTGTAGTTTGTAGTCACGACGCCTCAGTAAAAATCCATGTGTAATTTCTCACGTAATTTTCCGATTTTTAAAAGGAAATTCCACGTTTCACGCAATTTTTTCTTTACTGAGGCTTAGAACTTTTTGTAGTTTGTAGTCAGTTAGCCTCAGTAAAAACAATCCACGTGATGTTTCGGTTTTTTTCCCGAAAATTCCACATTTCACGCAGTAATTTTTCTTTACTGAGGCTTAGGAGTTTTTGTAGTTTGTAGTCACTAAGCCTCAGTAAAAAAATACACGTGTCATCGCGTAATTTGGCTTTTTTTTTTTGAAATTCCACGTTTCACGTTGCGTTTTTCTTCACTGAGGCACCTTCTGTATTTTGTAGTCAGTTAGACTCAGTAAACTTCGAAACGCTTAAAATCGCCCGTTTTAGCTCGTTTTTCTTCCATTTTTTTTTTGAAAACTTTGAGTTTTGTGTAGTTTGTAGTCTCTAAGACTCAGTAAAATGTCAAAAACGCTCTTTCTCGGCTCATTTTCAACAGTTTTTTTTTCATTTTTTTTCCACATTTTCACTACAAACTACAACATTTTTGCAGTGTGGAACTCGGAAAGCAACTGGCAAAGGTTATCCAACCGGAATTGGCATCAGCTGACAAGGTCACCACACACGACGCGTCTACTAATGGACTCATCGCTTTTATCAAGAATAACAATGCATAAAATTATTCCATTTTCCCTTCAATGTCTGCGTCTCTCCTGAAACTTCTAGTCTCTCGTTTCACTGTTTTTTATTTGCACCGCCCGTTTCTTTAGAAAATGTATAAATGAAAATGTAGTTTGTAGTCGTTTGAAATAAATTGATTGCATTTTTTTCGGTTTCTTCTATTAAATTGACGGTTGCAGTGCCAATTTTAATTATCGAATTAGAGAAATTAACAAAAATTAACAAAAAATTGGGTTTTTAGATACTAAAATGGCTGGATACGCGCTGAAAAGACTCATGACAGAGTACAAAGGTAGATATGCCACGTGGCTAAACTAGAAACTACAATTTTCACCCTTCTAGAGCTCACCACACGTCCTCCAGAGGGAATTATCGCGGCGCCGATCGACGAGGACAACTTTTTCGAGTGGGAATGCCTTATCACTGGACCAGAGGAGACGTGCTTCGCCAACGGCGTCTTTCCGGCACGTATCACTTTTCCACAGGTACAAACTACAAAAAATTCTAGAAATTTTGAGCTAACAATCGTGGAAAACGGTTGAAAATGAGCCGAAATACAGCAATTTTAAGATTTTACTGAGGCTAACTGACAAATGTAGTTTTTAGTCACTTAGCCTCAGTAAAACAGCGTGCGCGTTTATTGAGGCTCAGTGACTACAAACTACAAAAATCCCTTAGCCTCAGTAAAAACTAGAACCACTCCATTTTTGCTCATTTTCAGTGAATTTTCATGACTTTTTGCTCGTTTTTTTTGTAGTGTGTAGTTTCTAAGACTCATTAAAAGTGGTTCAAGAAACTACAAACTACAAATTCCGATATTTTTGAGCTAAAAATCGTTGAAAGCGGTTGAGAATGAGCCGAGATACAGCGTATTGAAAGTTTTACTGAGGCTAACTGAAAAATGTAGTTTGTAGTTTCTAAGCCTCAGTAACTTGAGGCGCGTTCCTTGAGGCTAAGTGACTACAAACTACAAAATTTTCTAAGCCTCAGTAAAAAACTAAAAACGCTCTATTTTAACTCATTTGCTACGGATTTTCTTGATTTTTAGCTCAAAATATCCCTTTTTCCAGGACTACCCTCTATCTCCGCCCAAGATGCGATTCACATGTGGAATCTTCCATCCAAACATCTATCCAGACGGTCGTGTGTGCATCTCGATTCTCCACGCTCCTGGAGACGATCCAACCGGCTACGAATCGTCCAACGAACGCTGGAGCCCGGTTCAATCCATTGAGAAGATTCTGTTGAGTGTGGTTAGCATGCTAGCTGGTGAGTTAAAATTTTAAAAATTAGTTAATTCCAAATTTCAAATGTTCCAGAACCCAACGACGAGTCGCCTGCAAATGTGAACGCTGCCAAGATGTGGCGTGAGGATCGTGCACAATTCGAGAAGACTGCCGACGCGCTGGTCCGCAAGACTCTGTGTCTTCCAGCTTCGGAAGTTTAATTTTTCTGTGAATTTCGTCTTTTCTGTATTTACAATAAAATATTTTAATTTATATTGACTGTTTCTAGTTTGTATTCTATTCTGAGTGACGACACACATTTGTTTATACGCTGTCCGGCGCTGCTTGCTGCCAATCTGACGCAATATGACTCGGAAAGCCAGAAATTGCGAAATTCGAAAAATATATTAAAAGCAATCTCCCCTGGAGGATAATTCAACTCTGGGAAATTTGAATTTTCATTTTTCAATATTCTGAAATTGCATTTTCAGCAAGCAATTTTGGGCTTTTTCTTTAATTTTTAGAACTTTTAGGCTCCACAGCTTCCACTGAGTCTGCAATTGTCGTCAGATTCGATGCACAAACACCGTGACGCGCAATTGCATACCCTGGAAAATTTAATTTTTTTTTTGCATTTTTGCAAAGTTTAATTTCTTATTTTTGACCTAAATTTGAAGTTTTGCTTTCTAATTTTTCTGAAAATATGAAATTCAAGATCTAAAATATTGATTTTTTAAGACATTCCCACGAAGGAAACAGGCATCTTCTCAAATTTTAGGATGTGAAAACTTAAATCTCAAAATTCAAAAAAAAAATTTTTTTCGAAATTTCAGATTTTGTTCTCTAAGTTTTCCTTCCGCATTCCCCGCTTTTAAGGCCTGAAATTCCAAAATTTCAGGTAATTCTATAAGAAAATGGCTGACGCCAAACCCAAAACTGAGAAGGAGCTGAAGAAGGAGGCGGAGAAGGCGGCGAAAATCGCCAAATTCGAGGAGAAGCAGAAGAAGCTCGCCGAGCAGAAGGCCAAAGCGGCAGCCAGTGATAAGCCGGCTAAAGAGGTAGAAATTTGAATTTTGAAAAAAAAAGGAAAATTCGATAAATCGGAAAATTTCCATTTTTGACACTTTTAATCTCCAAACTCTTCAAAATTCGCTCTCAAAATATTCAAAATTGCTGGAAAGCGGAATTTTCCACCTATTTTGAACTGCTAACCTTCAGAAACTACAAACTACATTAATCTTGCAGACCAAGGCCAAAAAAGACCCAACCGCAAATGCTATCCCAGTAGACACCACTACCCCCGGCCAAAAAAAGGATATCTCCTCGGAAATCCCCTCGGCCTACTCCCCAAGCTACGTCGAGTCCGCCTGGTACTCCTGGTGGGAGAAAGAGGGCTATTTCAAGCCTGAATACGTGGATAAGCTGAATCCAGGCTCCAATACAGAGTCGTTCACCATCTGTATCCCACCTCCAAACGTCACAGGAACCCTCCACGTCGGTCATGCCCTTGCGACTACTGTAGAGGATACTATCACCAGATTCAATAGAATGCATGGGAAACGAACGCTGTTCAATCCAGGATGTGATCATGCTGGAATCGCAACCCAGGTCGTTGTCGAGAAACGGCTCAAAAGAGAGCGAGGATTGACACGCCACGATTTGGGTCGAGACCGGTTTAATCAAGAAGTCTGGCACTGGAAGAATGAGAAGGGAGATGTGATCTACGATCAATTCCGGAAGCTAGGAGCCTCTGTTGATTGGGACCGTGCTGTGTTCACAATGGATCCAAAGATGTGTCGTGCTGTTACAGAAGCGTTCATTCAGATGCATGAGTCTGGAACGATCTATAGATCTAATAGATTGGTCAACTGGAGTTGTGCGCTGAGATCTGCGATTTCAGGTTGGTTTGGGGGAGACTACAAACTACATTTTTGAAACAATTTTCGGCTTTGGAATCTGGAATCTAATCCCGTAATTGTCGGAATTTCCACCTCGGAAATTGCTTAGAACGCTTTCAAAAAAATTTAAAAATCAAAAATTTGAAATATTGGGGTGTTAGAACCCAAACGAAGCATTTTAGATCTCGCAAAAACTCGAAAAACTGACTGCAAACTACAAAATTTCTGAAAAATCCCGTTTCGCCGCTTTGTTGGCTTGTTTTTGAGCCATTTTTGCTTTGAAAATTATGCTTTTTTCTAACTACGAAAACTACAAACTACAATTTTCGACTTTGCTTTTTTCGAATTCCCGCCAAATATTACTATGAAAATTCTGAAAAATTAGCGATTTTTCGAATTTCAAAATTGATTTTTTCTTCGATTTTTTGCAAAATTTTTAGACCTTTTTAGGGTTTTCAGCGATTTTTGAAGATTCTTTTTCGATTTTTCCGGCATTTTTTGTCTGAAAATTTAACGGAATGGGGTTCCCGAAGATTACTGTAGATTACTGTAGTTTTTTGCATATTTCAATCTGCATTTTAACGTGATTGTGTTTGCGAAAAATCTACAGTAATCCTCACGAACATCGTTCTATCGAATTTCAGACAAAAATTCGGGAAAAAAATCTTCAAACATAGCTAAAAACCATAAAAAGGCCTGAAAATTATGCAAATAATCGAAAAAAAATTGGATTTTCTCTAGAAAAATAGACTACAAACCACAAACAACAAAATATTTCAGACATCGAAGTCGACAAGAAGGAGCTCACTGGATCCACCCTGATCGCTGTCCCTGGCTACGACCAGAAAATCGAATTCGGTGTCTTAAACTCCTTCGCCTACAAAATCGAAGGATCCGACGAAGAGATCGTCGTCTCCACGACTCGTATCGAAACCATGCTCGGAGATTCTGGAATCGCCGTTCATCCAGACGACCAACGCTACAAGCATCTCGTCGGAAAGAAGTGCATCCATCCATTCATCGCTTCTAGAGAACTTCCGATCTTCGCCGATAGCTTTGTTGAAATGGAATTCGGTACAGGAGCCGTCAAAATTACTCCAGCCCACGATCACAACGATTACGAGGTTGGAATGCGTCAAAAGCTTCCATTCCATAACTGTATCACTGATGATGGATTGATCTCTAATGGCTGTGGAGAATTCTCAGGAATGAAGCGTTTCGACGCCAGAAACGCTGTTATTGAAGCTCTGAAAGCCAAGGGTCTCTACAGAGGAAAAGAGGACAATCCAATGGTGGTCCCAACTTGCTCTAGATCTAAAGATGTCATTGAACCTATCCTCAAGCCTCAGTGGTACGTAAAATGCGACCATATGGCTGAGAAAGCCATGTCCGCTGTTGCCAATGGCGACCTTCAAATCATTCCGGAATTCCATAAAGCCACGTGGAACCGTTGGTTGGAATCCAGCAGAGATTGGTGCATCTCTAGACAACTCTGGTGGGGACACCGTATCCCTGCGTACTATGTCAGTTTTACTGACAAACGGGAGCAACCACTGGCAGAGGAGGAGTATTGGGTTTCGGCGAAAACCGAGGAGGAGGCTCGTCAGAAGGCGGCGAAGAAGTTCCAGGTGGCAGAAGACTTGATTCAGCTAAAATGGGATGAGGATGTGTTGGACACGTGGTTCTCGTCTGGAATGTGGCCGTTTGCCGTGTTTGGATGGCCTGATAACACCAAGGATATGGATTTGTTCTTCCCGTCGGCTGTGCTGGAGACTGGACACGATATTCTGTTCTTCTGGGTCGCGAGAATGGTGTTTATGGCGCAGGAGTTGACTGGAAAGTTGCCGTTTAAGGTAATTAAAGGGGTTAGGATTTTGAAAAAAGCTGGAAGTATCAAAAAGATATGCGAAATCATATCTTTTCAATTGATTTTGGGTCATTTTCAGGTCTTAAATGATCTAGAAACGCTTTAAAATGACCTAGAAACGCCTTAAAGTGACCTAGAAAAGCCTTGAAATAGCATACATAAGCCTAAAATGACCTAGAAACGCCTTAAAATGACCTCCAAATGCCTTAAAATGACCTCCAAATGCCTTAAAATGACCTAGACAAGCCTTAAAATGGCCTAGAAAAGCCTTACATATACCTAAAATTGGCCTGTAAGCCCTTTAAATAGCCATCTCAAAATGTTCATTGGTTTTCTTCCAGGAGATCCTCCTCCACGCAATGATCCGTGACGCTCATGGTCGTAAAATGTCCAAATCCCTCGGCAACGTCATCGACCCTCTCGACGTCATCCGTGGAGTCACCCTAGAAGGCCTCCAAGCCCAACTCCTCTCCGGAAATCTCGATGAGAAGGAGATCGCCGTCGCGAAAGCCGGACAAGCCAGAGACTATCCAGATGGAATTCCAGAGTGTGGAGTCGACGCTCTCCGTTTCGCACTTCTGAATTACACGTCACAAGGAAGAGACATCAATTTGGACGTGCTTCGTGTCCAGGGATACCGTTTCTTCTGTAATAAAATCTGGCAGGCCGTCCGTTTCTCTCTGAATCAATTCAATGAGAAACCAGAGCAGAAGCCGACTTTTAATATTGATTTATCCAAAGCCACGCCCACTGATAAGTGGATTCTTTCGAAGCTAGCTAAGGCGGTCAAGGAGACCAATGAGACTTTGAAGGTCTACAATTTCACCCAGGCAACGTCTATTACCTACAATTTCTGGTTGTACGACTTCTGTGATGTCTACATTGAGGCTATTAAGCCAGTTCTCTATGGAGGTACGGTATTTCTTATTTTAATGCACATTTACAAACTTCAAGAGCCGATTTTTGACTATTTAGGCAGTTTTTTGTAACTTTTGGACCAAGTTATGCCGATTTTCAGAGATATTTGGACCAAATCCGGCTAATTTATGCTGATTTTTAGTAATTTTTGAGCCAGTTTGAGCCAATTTTCGATTAAGGGCTTAGAAGGATTTTTGTAGTTTGTAGTCTTGAAAAAACGCGATTTTGAACACAAAAACTGATATTTCCTATAAAAATTAGCAATTTTTTTCGAGAATTTTCGAGAGTCAAAATTGATTTTTTCTCCGATTTTTTTGCAAAATTTTTAGACCTTTTTAGGTTTTTCAGCTATTTTTGAAGATTATTTTTCGATTTTTCCGTCATTTTTAGTCTGAAGTTTGATGGACCAGTGTTCGTGATTACTGTAGATTACTGTAGAAAACCTTGTATTTTGTAGTGTTTTTTCTCCACGTCAAAATGCAGAAAAATCTCTACAGTAACCTACAGTGATCTTCGCGAACAACAAATTTCAGCAAAAAAAATTCGTGGTAATCGAAAAAGGATCTTCAAAAATAGCTGAAAAACCAATAATTTCAACTCTTAAAATATCTGAAATTCCAGACAACCCAACCCTCCGCCAAATCGCCATCTCCGTCCTCCACCTGTGCGTTGACACTGGTCTCCGTCTGATCTCCCCACTGATGCCATTCATCTCGGAAGAACTTTGGCAACGGCTGCCACGTCTCGCTGATTCTGATTACTCGGCTCCATCGATCATGGTTGCTCAGTATCCATTGACAGAGAGATACGAGAAGTATCAGAATGATAAGCTGGAGGCCGCATTTGAATTCGCTAAGGAGGTCGTCGGAAAAGTCAGATCTCTGAGAGCTGATTATGATTTGACAGCGAGAACCAAGATTACTAGTGAGTTTCGATTCGAAAATGGGTCTGAAAATGGCCAAAAGTCGATTTTCCAGCGTTTTAGAGCCAAAAAATTGATAAAGAATGTTATTTTGATCCTCTTTTTGACTTGAAAAAGCTTTAAAGTATAGTCTTAAATTATTTTCCCGGCCTTTTAGAACCTAAAATCCCTAAAACTTCCGAAAAGCAACCTAAAACGCCCCAAAATCTCATTAAAAAAGAGGCAAAAATAGTCAAAAGTTATTTTCCCGGCTTTTAAGACCTAAAAGCGACCGAAACGATCCCAAAATCTCAGAGAAAATGTCATTTTCAGCCTATTTTCGACCTAAAAATGTCCCAAAAACTCTAAATAAGCCAAAAATAACCCTAAAATCCTGAAAATCCTCATTTTCCAGTCCAAATCCTCGCCGAAACCGCCGACGATCAATCGATGCTCAACGATCTGTCCGATGTGATTGCCACGTTGACATGGAGCAAGAGTGTCACAATTTTGGCGAAAAGCGAGAGCGACAAAATTGAGAAAGGTTCCGCCCACATTGCATGTGGATCTCGTTGTCAAGTCTATATCAATCTCACTGGGATCATCGATACTGTCAAGGAGGTGGGTCAGAATGAGTCAAAATTCGTTGGTCTCATCAATTAATGTCAATTTTTCGTGATTTTAGACCGGAAATATGTCGAAAAACGCCTGAAAAGTCGATTTCCGACCATTGAACATGATGGTTGACTCAATTTTTGATGGTTTTTAAAGGAAATTGACTGGAAATGGCTGAAAATTCATGAAAAAGCGTTCAAAACTGTGTAGTTTGTAGTCAAAAAATCATGAAAAACTGAAAATTTTGAGTTTTTACTGAGGCTTGGGAAGTTTTGTAGTTTGTAGTCTAAGCCTCAGTAAAACTTCTGAAACGCAACTTGGACATTAACTGAGGCTCAGAAGGGTTTGTAGTTTGTAGTGTGTTAGCCCCAGTAAAACGTTTCCCACGCAACTTGGAAGTTTACTGAGGCTTAGGAATTTTCGTAGTTTGTAGTCCCTTAGCCTCAGTAAAAATGTATATTTACAAATTTCCAGATCGAAAAGCTCGGCGCCAAACTGCAAAAGAATCAAATTTCGGTGAAAAAGATCTCGGATATTCAATCCACTGCCGACTACGAGCAAAAGGTCCCGTCTGGAATTCGTGCCCGTGATCAGGAGAAGGTACTGTGTAGTTTGTAGTTTTTGTAGTCTAAAAATTTCTTCTTCCAGAAAGCCTCACTGGAAAAGGAAATCGAGAACATCACGGCGGCGATTGCTCAGCTTAAAGCGCTCAACTAATTTTTTTTTCTCTAATTTCCGGTCCTTTTCCCCTCTTTACTTTTGTTTTTGTTAATTAATTTTTTCCCTCTTTTTTGTAGTTTGTAGTCTACCCCTTCCCCAAAAAACTATTTTTTTTTCAAATATTTTATTGTTTGTCTCGTCTTTTTTGTTCTTATCGATTCCCCTTTCTCTGCGGTATATTATTATCACCACCACACCCTCATTTTGTCACTCTCTTCTTTTTCCCATTTTTCCCCTTTTTTTGGTTTTTTTGCGGTAAAAATATTTCCCATTGTTTTTTAAAAGGAAATTTCTCAATTTTTGAGACTTCCCCCCCCAAAAAATTTTCGGTTTTTTGTGTTCCTTCCTTTCCCCCTTTAAAAACATATAATAAATAATTATATTTCCTGTTCCTTCCCCGATTGGCTAATTTGCCCAGCAAAGAATGTGAAAAACAAACCCAAAAAACCCATTTTTGGCTCATTTTTAAGTTTTTACTGAGGCTAAGAAGGCTTTTGTAGTTTGTAGTAAAAAAAAATCTAAGAGTTGATTTTTACTAAGGCTCAGGAAATTTTGTAGTTTGTAGTCCCTTAGCCTCAGTAAAGCTTCTTTTCGCGCGCCTTAGACGTTTACTGAGGCTTAGAAGAATTCTGTAGTTTGTAGTGCTTAGCCTCAGTAAAAAATTCAAAACGCTCTAAAAAGGCTCAAAATCGCTGGTTTTTGTTCGTTTTTATTGCAATTTTTGTAGTTTGTAGTCTCTAAGCCTTAGTAAACCTTGGGATTCCTGGCACGAGATCTTGGAGAAGTCGCTAAAAAGGGAATGAATTATTCGGGGCTCTCTGGGAGAGAGATGGGAATTTTTTAAAGGCGCATGGGCGACAGCCAGCCCCCGCTATTTCCCGTTACTCTCCATTTCGAAAATTTCCTCTTTTTTTTCGCGTTTTCCCCTGGCTCCTTAGAAGCGGTGTCTCTCATTTCTCTGCGTCTCTCTCTCTCTCTCTCTCTCTCTCTCTCTTCTGCTTGCAGGGAAAAAAGAGAGAGAGAGAGAGAGAGAGAGAGAGAAGACCAAGAAAAACGCGAAATATACGACTAAATAATAAAGAAATGGAGGAGAAGAGGAGAGAGCCTTCTTCTCTTCTGCTCCACGCCAAAAAAGGGCGGAGAATCGATCGGGGGGCTCCGTGAGAGAGAGGGACGACTACTAGTAGAAGAAGAAGAAGACGTCAGGAGAAGGGAAAAAGCTCTCGTTTTATTTTTTTCCCAGAGAGCTGTAGCTCTCCTCCGCTTCCCTCTTTTTTCTAGCTTTTTACCGTTTGACTTTCCTCTTCATTTGTTTGGCTCGATTATCTCAGTTCCTATGGTAGCTATCGAAAAAGTGATAACTAGAAAAATATGGGAAATTTTATTTCACACATTTTATTAGTTAAACATTTATTGCTAGCTTTTATGAGAGCCGAGATAATTGGACCTCAAGCAAAGGAGCTATAAAAGGCAGGAATCATGGCTTTGCTTTAAGCGCATATATCTCGCTTTCTGTGATAGTTATCAAAAAAGTTTTTATTAATATATTACGGGAAATTTAATTTTAAACATTTTATTAGTTAATCATTTTTTGGTAGCTTTTACAGAAATCTAGATAATCAGCGTTAAAGTGAGCGAGGCGCCGTAGGTCTTCGAGAGCCTCCACCTGAACCTATCTCCTTTTTACCTCTAATTATCTCGTTTCCTGTAATAGCTATCAGAAAGATGTTTACAAATAAAACATTTAAAATTCAATTTTACACATTTTATTAGTTAACTACTTTTTGATAGCATTCCTTGTAGCTGAGATACGGTACTTCAAAGAGCCACTACTTTTGTGGCGCCGCCTCCCCTCCCTTTCTGAAAGGACGCTTTTTTGATCTACATTATCATGTTTCCTATGATATATAGAAAAAAGTATCCAACTAATAAAATGCGCATAATTAAATTTTACACATTTTTATAGTTGACCAATTTTTGGTAACGTTGTCAGGAACGGAGGTGTGGTCTTTTACAAAAAGTACTGTTGAGGAGCGCGCGCCTCCTCCTCCTGTTGGCGCGCTAAAGGGTGTAATAGCTTTAACCTAGATTATCTCAGTTCCTATTATAGCTATCAAGAAGTTGTTAACTAATAAAATGTGTAAAATTCAATTTTTCACATTTTTGTAGTGGACAACTGTTTGCTATCTTCTACAATAAGCTAGATATTTAGCGTTAAAGAAAACGCACTTAAAATTTTAAAAAATTTAAGCTTCATTTTTTGAAGGTCCACAAATCCTTTTAAACTTGTGATTTTTTTAAAAATTAAAATTGAAAAATAATCTAGAAGAGATTCCCTATAATTCTGTATAAGTTTCATAAAAATCTGAGCACTTTAAAAAGAATTGCAACCCTTACAAAATATGTCACCTGACATTTCCATAATTTTCTCTCTCTCTCCTTTTCTCTTGTTTCTCTACACCCTCTCCACTTCCCATGCTCTCTAATTCCCGATCGAATTAGTGCTCACAAGGAGACTAGAAGACCAACAAATTGGATTGACTTCAAGAGGAGGCAGTGGGCGGAGCCAGTTTTTTCCCGTTTTTTGACTAATGAGATCTCATTTTTCTTTATTTTTCCCTAAAAAAAATAAATTTGATGCCAATTAAGGTGAGCGAATGGGTGACTACGACTATCTGATCAAATTTCTGGCGCTCGGCGACTCGGGTGTCGGTAAAACGAGCTTCTTGGTGAGTTCTCGGCTTGGCGGGAATTTGAAATTTTCTAAAAAAAATTTATAGCATCGCTACACGGACAACTCCTTCAATGGACAGTTCATCTCGACTGTTGGAATTGATTTCAAGGAGAAAAAAGTGGTAAGAATTAGAAATTTCTAAAATTTTTGGCTTAAAGATTCAAAAATTTTTTCGAAAAATTCAAATTTCCCGCGCTTTTCAGGTCTACAAAAGTGCCAAAGGCGGATTCGGTGGGCGTGGTCAGCGTGTGTTGCTGCAGTTGTGGGATACGGCTGGACAGGAAAGGTAAAACATTTCAAACTACAAACTACAAACATTAAAAAATACTGAAAATTCCAGAATTTTTGAGCCAAAAATCATTGAAATCGGTTGAGAATGAGCCGAGATACACCGATTTAAAGTTTTACTGAGGCTAACTGAGAAATGTAGTTTGTAGTTACTTGGCCTCAGTAAAATCTTTAACTCGCCGTATCTCGGCTCACTCTAGGCGGTTTTTGATGATTTTTGGCTCAAAAATTTTGTACGTTTTTGCTTTATTGGGTGAAATATAATTATGTAAAAAATCCGAAAATTTTGATTTTTTAAGATAAAACTTCTTTAATTTCTCAAAACCACTCGGTAAAACTTTTAAACGATTTTACTAAAAATAAAAAATACAGAAAAATTCCAAACATTTTGAGCTAAAAATCATAAAAATCGGTTGAGAATGAGCCGAGATACAGCGATTTGAAGATTTCACTGAGGCTAAGAGACTACAAACTACAGGTATCAGTTAGCCTCCGTAAAACTTCTCTCGCGCAACTTGGACGCTTACTGAGGCTTAAAAAGCTTTTGTAGTTTGTAGTCTGTTAGCCTCAGTAAAAACTTCAAAACTCTGTAAGCTCATTCTAAGCTGTTTTTGGTGATTTTTAGCTCAAAATTTCTGGATTTTTTTGCTTTTTTTATTAGCTCAATAAAGTTTCGATAGTTCTAATAGAAAAATTTCGATTTTTTGGGATAAAACCTTCCTTGGATTTTTCAAAAATCACTCAGACCAACATCCAAATTCTATAGCTAGCACTTTTTCTTAATTCCCGAACTTTTAGGATTACAAAAAAGGGTACAATTTCCATTGTCTAGACACCCCTATACAATTATCATTGTCTAGACAAAAAGTTTAAAAAATTTGAAGATTTTTGATCTAGATTTTTGATACCCAGACAAGAAAAGGATCTCCAGGGAGCTATAGTTACCACTATAATTAATTTATTATTATTATTGTTTCCCCCCCCCCCCCCCCCCAAAAAAATACTATTTTTCACAGAAAAGCCTTTCAGATTCCGTTCATTAACCACTGCCTTCTTCCGCGACGCGATGGGATTCATTCTGATCTTCGACATTACCAATGAGCAATCGTTTTTGAACATCAGAGATTGGTTGTCACAACTCAAAGTGCATGCTTACTGTGAGCAGCCAGATATCATTATCTGCGGAAATAAGGGAGATTTGGAGAATCGACGACAAGTCAGCACCGCCAGAGCCAAACAGTTGGCTGATCAGTTGGGGTTAGTATATGGTTAGATGTAAAAAGTCATGGTGATTCTAATGGTAGTAAAATTAGAATTTCAACTGAAAAATGAAGCGAGTTAAGATTGATTTATCGCAAAGAAGCAATACCGCATTTCCTCTAATAGAAGCCCACTTAAAGCGTTAGCTTTGAGCTCAATTATCTCAGTTCCTTTAAGAGGTATCAAAAATTAGTTACCTAATAAAATAGTGATGATATTATGATAAACATTTTATCAGTTGACAGATTTTTGATAGCTCTCACAGAAATCGAGATATTTGAGTTCAACGTTGGGGGGTTGGATGATCTTTTATTGAGCACGGCTAGCGACAGATTAATGGCTGAGCAAGTCAAGCAAAAAATACGAAACTGAACTTAGTCAAATGTGGTTGAATGTAAAAAATTACGCTGAATCGAATGGTAGTAAAATCAAGACCCTTGATTCTAAAAGAAGCGAGCTATGCTTGCTTTCTTGCTTTCTTGCTTTCTTCCATGGAAGAGACAGTCAGCGCGGCGCGAATGTCAAATAAATGGCTAAGCAGGGCGTGCAAGAAAATGGGTCTTAATAGAATTGGTTAAAATCAAATGTAAAAAGGTATGCTAATTAGAATGGTAGTAAAATGTTATGGCAAAAAAAGTTATGGCAAAAAACAAAAGAGCATGCACACTCCTGAAGAATTGGATTTTTCAGTGCTTTCTCCGAAAAAATGTTTTCATGGAATCTAGTTGAATTTTATATAAATGTGTAGAGAATTTCAAGATCTACATTTTACAATTTGATTAATTAAGAAATCTCAAATTTGAATCAAGTTATAACCTAATAATTAAAGCGCGCTTTTTTGCTTTATCCATAATTGCTAAATCGACTGTAACACCTTTCAAAATCAAGCTTTCGGAATTATCTCAAACGGAATATTTTGATTTTGAAAAGTTCTATAAAACCATGTACAGTTCTACTATTTAGAAAATGTCGAACTTCACATAAATTTCATTTTTCTAGTTCCCACGACTACCGAGACCTGTCAGGTCAAGACTTGTCAAAAAGGGAAAATACGAATTCTCCTTTTTTGAATTTGATGGATGGATTTGTCTTGATGGTTGTTCTTGGAAACCTTTTTTGTGAAGACTTCAGGGACCAAAAAAAAGAAAAAAAAATTTTCCAGACTCCCATACTTCGAGACATCTGCATGCACTGGAGTGAACGTTGAGAAATCAGTGGATTGTCTTCTGGATTTGGTGATGCAAAGAATTCAACAATCCGTCGAGACGTCATCTCTTCCACTATCCGAATGCCGTGGTGTCAGCTTGGATGGCGATCCAAACGCCTCTACTTCGTACTGCGCTAATTGCTAATGGACTCTTTAGAACTACGTGAACTTTGTTATGCAAAAAAGCAGAAAATTCTGAAAATTTTGAGCTAAGAATCATTAAAAACGGTTGAGAATGAGCCGAGATACGGCGATTTGAAGATTTTACTGACGCTGAGACTACAAACTACAAAAATCCATAAGCCTCAGTAAAGGCAACTTGCACGGCGAACCGGAGTGTTTACTGAGGCTAAATGAAAACTGTAGTTTGTAATTTCTTAGCCTCAGTAAACTTCCACAATGCGAGAGGAAAGCTTTTACTGAGGCCAAGTAACTACAAACTACATTTCTCAGTTAGCCTCAGTAAAAAACTTCAAATCGCTGTAATTCGGCTCATTCTTAACCGATTTTCATGATTTTTGGCTCAAAATTTCTGGATTTTTTTGTATTTTTTGATTTGTTTAAAAAGTTTTTTCGAAAGTCCTTCTTCTAAAAATCTCGTCTCACGAAATCTCCCATTTTTTCTTTCCGAAAAAACCCGTTTTTTTGTAATTTTTTTCATCTTCTTGATTTAAAAAATTATAAAATTGGCATAATATTATTTCTCTCTCTAAAAATCTAAAATTTCTCCCCTGTCCTCATATCTTCTCTTCTCTTTTCTCTTCTCCTTGAATTTTTTCCTGTAATGTAAAATTTAAAATTCTCAAAGATCTCATTTATATATTTTTCTCCTTTTTCTCATTTTCAGATGATGAATAATAATTTAAGAATTCTAGAATTTTCTAGAAATCCCACATAGATAAAGATTTGGAAAACAAAATTATAGAAAATGAAATAGAAGGTTTAGCTCCTCACTTTGAGCTCATATATCTCGATTTCTGTGGAAGATATCAAAATGTTGTCAACTGATAAAATATTGGTGACATTATGAAAAACATTTTATCAGTTAAAAAAATCTTGATATCTCTTACAGGAACCGAGATAATTGAGCTCAAAGTAATCGAACCTCCAGAGGGGTGAGAGGCAAAGGGGGGGGGGGGGCACCTGTCCCTTTAAATTTATGTATCTCAATTCCTTCAAAAGATACCAAAAAGTGGTCAATTGATAAAATATTTATCATAATATCGGCTACATTTTATCAGTTAACTTCTTTTTGATATCTTTCACAGGAATCGAGATAAATTGTCTTAATGTTGACAGTGTGTGGGCCCTTCTATTACAGGTTTTTTTTAACTTCAGGAACAAAAAAGATTAAAAACAACTTTTGAAGATAAAAAATTCATATAAATAGATAAAAAATTCAAAAATATTACAAATTATAAAAAATTAAATTTTACTGGGTTGAACTTTGTAAATCAGCGCTTCCTGGGATGTTGACATGATCAATCTGGAAATTTTGTTTTCAGATATTTTTTCAAACATTTGAAGAAAAAAACCCACTTTCCATCCCTGGACCATAATCTTCCATGGATTAGACTTCGATGGTTCGAGTTTGCCACACATTCTTGCTCATACAGTATCCAGTCGTTTATGTCGAATCTGAATTTCAGCGGCGAAATTTTTTTACACTTACGCTTATTTTAAGCTCAATTATCTTGGTTCCTATAACAGATATCAAAAAGTTATCAACTTATTAAATTTTTATCACAGTATCAGCAACATTTTATCAGTTAAAAATTTTTTAATATCTTTGATAGGAACCGAGATAATTGAGCTTAAAGTATAACATCCTATCACAGCCGTAACAGAGCGGGCTTCAATGGCCGAGTTTTTGAATTTTCTTCATTCCTAGGCTATGGTGTACTCACTCATACTGATGAATCCATGCAGAATGGTCCATTGAAGTTTGCAATTTGAACATTTTATCATCAAAACACAATGCACCAGTTGTAACCAACTCCAAATCAGAAAGGTACACAATTGTAGCATGTCTCAGCATATAATCAGTCTTATCTGAAAACTACAAAGACTAAAAAGACTACAAAGTAAAATTCTTACCAACAGGAATCTTATACCTAATCCATAGATATTGTTTCTGATTGATTCCACCTGTTCCATGAAGGAACATATTCAAATCGGCTGGTCGGATTTCTAGACTTGGTGCCATTCGTTCGGTGACTTGTCCCCGTAATTCACGAGCGTCGAATCCTTCAGCTACCTTTTGATGACGCCCAGAGATGTTGCTGATAAGACCATCTGGGCCTGGAACATGGGTTGGGAATTCTGGAGTCAGGGAGAAGGTGTCCTTGACGCTGGCAAGCTGGAATTTTGAAAAATAGGTACATTTTTGGAAAAAGGGTCATAACTTCCTTCAAATCGATATTTTTAAATGATTTAAAATTCAAAACATAGAATTTCAATTTTGCTTCAGAATGATATTAAATTTGGTCAATTTACAATTATGATATGTTGTCCAGAAACGTTCTAAACAACGGAACATACATGCTCCTGCTTTGTGACCACATTCATAGTTTCAGAACTTCCTTCAAAGTTTATATTCTTGAATGATTCAAAAAGTAAAATATAGGATTTGAAATTTTCTTCAAAGCGGTATAAAATCTGACAACTGTTAGTTTACAGAGTTGTACAAGAGAACGTTTGGGTCTATTCAATCGTTCTAAGCTTGGAATCACTCTTGTGCTCAATGGTGGAATTTTGAAAGTATACAAATTTTATATCATTTTGTAGCTTTTCAAAACCTACATTTTACATTTCTAACTTGTCTAAAAATATAAAGTTTGAAGGGAGTTATGCTTTGCGCCGCTAGCCAACCTTTCTTCTCCGATGGATGGTGCCGTTCTTCGAGGAGGCATGCCCAACGGCGCGGTTCATAACTCTTTTCAAAATTGATATTTTTGGCCCAGCTAAATTTTATAATGTAGATCTTGAAAAGTTCTTCAAAATGATATAAAATTAATTCTAGTGGGCTGCTCATACCTTTTGCAATGAAAACTCCGCCAAATGAATCACTTTTCCATGTTGTACAGCTTCCACATATCGGATTGCGAAATTCCGACCATCTCGGATGATTTTTACATTGTAGGTGATTGGAATTGATTCTTCTCCTGAAAAATACAAATAAATTCTAAGAATTCTGAGCCAAAAATCATAAAAATCGGTTGAGAACGAACCGAGATACAGCGATTTTAAGTTTTTCCTGAGGCTAACTGAAAAATGTAGTGTGTAGTCGCTTAGCCTCAGTAAAACCTTCAAATCGCTGTATCTCGGCTTATTTCCTATCAATTTTGACGGTTTTTTAGCTCAAAATTTTGCTTTTTTTCTCTATTTTTAATTTTTTCAATTCAAAAAACCAAAAATTCTGAAAATTTTGAGCCAAAAATCATTGAAAACGGTTGAGAATGAGCCCAGATACAGCGATTAGAAGTTTTTACTGAGGCTAATCGAAACGTGTAGTTTGTAGTCGCTTAGCCTCAGTAAATCTTCAAATCGCTGTATCTCGGCTGAATTCC